AAGCATGAGGATGCCCAACATCACTTGTGAAGTCTAGACAGATCTCCATCCCTAAAGAACCAAAGAACATGGTAGGTGTCTGGGGCTCCTTCCGCATCAGAGCCCCATCTAGAGCTGGGTTGCAAAGACAGATGCTCACAGAGTGTTTACAGAAGAATGAACACAAATGTGGTTGTCTAGGTGTTTGCAAAAGGGGGCAAGCCTGATGCTGTGTCAACTGGCACTGGACCTTAGTGTCAAAGGATGAAAGAAAGTGACATGGTAAACTCAGCATTCTCTAAAGTAGAGTGGGGCTGCCAATAGGTTATCCAAGATTCAAGGTTTTTCACTTTGTCCCTGAGCCACATCTGAGGCAAGCTGTGTTAGATTTTTGTCACTGTTTCAAAATACCCGACACAAACAACTTAAAGGTGGAAAGGTTTAATTTGGGCCATGGTCTCAGAGCTATTGTTGAATGGTAGGTTGGCTTCATTGCTTTGGGCCTGAGGTGGGGAAGAACATCATGGTGGAAAGATGTGTTGGAGAAAATCTGCTCATTTCATGACAGCCAGGAAAGAGGATAAAAGAGAGGAAAGCCAGAGACAAAATTTAATCCTCAAGGGCATGACCCCAGTAACCTCCTTCCTACAAACATGCCCAACCTGCCTGAAGCTCCATTCAGTTATTAATTGATTAATGCACTAATGAGGTCAGAGCCTCATGATCCAATCACTATTCTAAAGCCCTACATAAAGACACTGGTGCATTGAGACCAATCCTTAAACTCAAGAACTTTTGGGGCACATTCCAGATCCAAACCATAACACAAAGCAAACTTATTGCAGGAGGACAGGCCAATGCTTAGGATCTAATACAAGGAACCTCTGGTGAGATGGGGACATGAAGCCAGCACAGATTGCAGGACAGCTGGGCTTATTCCAGTCCCCGTGAATAAGGTGATAATGACCATTAGGCCCAGCCCCTCCTTACTGCCTCCTAATGATCCTTCTCCTTCTTCAGGTGTTTCCTGAAATTACTCATCCTCATATTCATGTCTCAGAACCTCTGATTCTTGCACATCTTATCTCCATTGCAAATTAGTGGCACTATGCCTGGCTAGGCACCAAAGATACATAAAGCAAAATAAGGACAACAAATGCTAGCAGAGATAGTGTGCCCTGTGATCTGTCCATGGTTCTGAATCACTTCATTTAATATAACTTCTACTCTGGACACAATTCATTCTCATTAGTCTTTTGTTTCATATCTCTCTCTCTCTCTCTCTCTCTCTCTCTCTCTCTCTCTCTCTCTCTCTCTCTCTCTCTCATTTGTTTCTGTTTTGTAAAGGTGAACATATGTATCAGAAATATATTACATGTGATACAATGAGTTTCCAAACCTCACCCCAATCCCTCTTTACTTTTGTACTTTCTATGTATGCCTGGCACTAGTGCAACCTGTTCACCACCTAATCCTCTGTTGTACAATTAATAAATGAGTTGTGAGACACTAATTTCTCTAGGTTATGGAGATTGTTCCCTCTTATTTTAAGAGTAGATTAACACTTTTTCAATATACTTGAAATATCACTGATTGCTGTAATAATTTCTTCCCTGAGCTGAGGTGATTATTGGCAAGGAAGACATTCTTATTTTGTGCCTAGTTTTAGTACTAGCTGTTT